AAATGTCTCAGGTCGAGTGACATGAAAAATATACAATTTTGTCACATCGTTGTACAGTTAAAAAATACAAATCGTCCACTCATTCATAGTTTTTACAAAGGAACCAGTCGGTCTGGAAACGTTAAATGGTTACATTGTTTGTGTAGAAAGTAAAACTTTGATATCGTATTGAACACAATGTTTTCTTAGATAAATGTTTGAAGGGAGTCAAACGGTTACACTTCTATTTGACATATGATTTATGCTTTTCAACGCATAATTTTAAATTCATACAATCTGAGGATCTCACAGGAACTACCTCTTTAGGCGCTGTAAGTGATAAAAAGATGTTTGGTTACTTCGTATTTGTAGTGTTTACTACTGGCTCTACGTCACCTGGTCGATACCTGCACATTTGTGGTGTGTGCTAGATGCTAACTACTGTTCTGTTTAGCGTAAGGACCGTACTTGTTATCAAACGTGAATGTTACAGCATACACCCTGTAGCACTCACCCATATCATGCTATACTCCACCCTTGGTTACTGAAATGGTTGTGACTGAAGTTTGCTAAGAGTTAGGTTGTGTTCACCTGCTAAGTCATTTAAGGACGTGCCTTCATGTGTGTTGCGTAGGCGTGCATGTATGTATGTGTGCCGGAGGCTGGGTATGTTGGTATTTGCCTCCTTGTGATAGCGCGGATCTGATGCCGGCTTAATAGAGCTATAGCACCCAGCACAGCATTCCGCCCGGTCATATACTGAAAACAGGTGAACTAGTTGTTGCCATTCCCCTAAATGCTGAACGTTAAGCAGGGAACAACAACTACAATTTCTAAGAACTTATGTATGTCCCGGCCTGGGGACAGAACCCATTGCCTTCCTCACCTGGACGAACGCTGAACATTAAAGCCAGAGGTTAGGGATTGCCAAGCAAGGCGATAGGAAATAGAAGGAAGATAGAAGTAGAAAGAAAGATAAAGATCCCAAATATTGCAATGAGGACAGCAATTTTATTTTGAATGTTTTTGTGTCATCAATTAAAGGGCATAAAAGCAAATCCTCAATTCTGCAGGGCTTCCCAAACTAATTCCGTCTTACGATACATGCAGTGGGTAATAGCAGGTGAACTCTTTTCTCGATCGCAGACCTGCAGGGGTGTTCTGACAGAGAACGACTTCATGCTACATTTTGACAACGAATTCGCGGATAACGCATAGACCACGACGGCTCTACATTTAATGGGAAGTGCTATTAAACAAAGATAATAGTGTGCTGCGGTATGGATTATATACCACTTAGGTTTTTGATTCACAATATTCTTTTGTCGTCAACCTCATATTAAATCCACTGACTATGCTACACAATAGACAAGAATGATCACATCGATCACCAAAACAATAACAATGGCATAATGTCAACACTTTGGATAAGAACGTGCCTCTATTGAATCATAATGACGCAAACAATACTGAACCGAGAGATAAACCCGCGATAGTTCAGAGTCGATAATCCTATGTTTTGTGTCAATAATTAAGAAATCGTGTTTTCAGATAACAGCTACAACATATTTTACTTTTTAAATTCTTAGCAATATATTCTGTTTCAAAGACAAAATGATATTTCTTTCTACTGAAGGCGCGAGACAATGATACGGTATCAGAAAAAGACGGAACGTCATGTGACAAATTTCTTTTGTGTTACTGGCATAAGACAAGGATGCTATGATTATCTCCGTTTTCCCTTATACCTTTCTTTTACCATTTATTTTTGCTGCATAAAGGTTTAAAAGTGTACTTGATTATTGTTGTCAGGCCAGATATGACTTTACCGTTTCTTGGCCGTGAAGAAATATATATTTTTCTTTCTACTATTGTTATAAGACATATACGCTATATCTTATAACCAGTCTTCCTTATAATTACATGGTACAAGCCATGATTTTCCTTTATATTATTGTTATAAGACAAAAAAGCCACATCTTATCACTATTCTCCATCATACTATTGGTATAAGACAGGGATGCGGTTTACCACCATTTGTGTTTATACTGCAGGCGTTAGGCAAGGATGATGTGTATTATCACCATTTGTCCAATGTACTTTTGGTATGAGACAAGAACGTTTAATCTTACCACCATATTTCTGTATATCATTGTTATGTCTCAAAACTAATTACGCATACACTAATATGATTTAAGAGAAGAGTGCATTGTTCTATTTTTTACGGATAAAAATAATCCTGTTATCTTGTGCATTATTTTTTATATTACTCAAACTATCTTAATGTAAACATATACAACATTTTTTGCTGCTCTGTAACGGTTTTGTAGAAAAGCATACCAGAATACCAGCAGGGAACTAATGACTTCGGGTAAAAATCCATAAGACGGCAATACAGGCAACGTTTTCGTTGATTACAAATCGGTAGGTCTAGTTCATTCTATTTAATTATCGAATGATATCTTGGTCATGCCATTTTCAGGAGAGGATTTTTGTAGTTCAACCGACAATGTGTAAACACTGTAACGGGCATCATGAAATAAGTCCATTAAACTGGCCCTGGTAATGTAACTGATGCATCGGGAGGAATATTAAATTGGAGCAAAATCAAACAAAAAGGAAGGACCGTTGGCATCCCCTTGACGTACACCCAAAAATAACAGTATTAGCATGCTTACACATTTCAGACAGTGTTACGATAATATAACACTAGTATGATTGTCCTTTCCTTTAACAATTGTTTAAACTTATATTCATTTAAATATTTATTCAATTGGTTAATTTTGCATTTGTTTATCTACCCGGACGCTTTATTATATCAAGTGAAATGGAATATCATTTACAAACAATATTTAAACATGTATTGATCTCTTACAACAAGGTGGGACATTTTGCAAAAGAAGTTAAGTCTTCTAGTTATTATGATAAAAGAACATCTACACTGTGGAAAACATTCTATAATTACTGTTGTAAAGGTAATATATTTGTGTTAATAATTACAAAAGAGTGCAGTCCATTCTAGCGGAAAGCATAAGAGGTCTGAGTAATTGTAAATATTTAAATTAGCGAGGCAAAATGTCAAACCGAACGTCATAAAGGTCATCGAGTAAACACTGCGATAACGAATTTATTTTAGAGTACTTTCCTCCTACCCTTGCTTGCTGACGAAGAACGCTGGGGGTGATTTGCTCAATTCTATCATAGATATTTGAAGTCAAATATAAGGAATATAACATGATGTAAAAGCACAAGGACGTCAACTCTTCACGGACAGACCGCAGGCACAATGAACCTCTATAAGGAACCGGAAGTGGAACCAAATGTTTAGAAAGGGTCAGCGTTTCCACACCACATATGGCATCCACTATGATTTCTTTTTTAAAATCGAAAACAATATTGGTTGTCACCAAATATAAAACACGACTCGCATTTCCTTATGTTATATGCAGTTGTTACGGAAGGCCAACAACGTTCATATAGACTTTTGTAATGGAAAGGAAACATATAGCAAGTGATGTCACTGACAGGAAAGCTACAAAAGAGTTGATATAGGTTTTTCTTGAAATAGACAAATGATCAGTTGGAATGTTTGTTTGATTTTTTTGTGGTTGGGTTGGAGCCCGGGTTAAAGTCTAGCAACAGCCAGGGTGAGGCCGGGTGTCTAGGAAGACACCGCCGGAAAGCGAATGTGGATAGGAAAAATCGTACATAGTAGAAATAGAAAAGAAAAATATCACAGTGTTGCTATAGAGGCAGAAAACCACCGATTCCACAGGGGCCCACATTAGTCGCATTTTCCAATATACTTGCAGTGGGAAACATAAAATCTATCAAAGGTTTCTTCGTTGTTCCCTAAGCAAAAGACAAGGAAGAGAGAGACACACACAGGCTTCCCGATTCTGCAAGGGCTAACATCAGTCGCCTCTTACGAGAATACAATTGGATACAACATGCCTAGTCTTTCCCCGAACGTGGAGTGGTTCAGAATGATAGTTTTAATATGTTTGGCAGGAAGAGACAGATGTCGGTTAACTATAAACTATACAAGATAGCCATGGCTTCCATGCTTAACAATATGTTATGTCCCATTATACGACTAGGCTAGTTTGAAAGCAGGTACACACATGTTTGCGCATTCTTTTGTTTTCATTACACTTTTTATAAAGAAATGCTGTAACTTTCAAAAGATATAGTTTATATCATTACCGTGTTATGTAAATGCAGTGTTTTCTAATTATTTAAATTGTATGAAGGTCTAAATGTTTGGAAAACATTCGAGTCTGTTTGCTTAAAAAAAACTTGAAAAAAGTCGTTATCTCATGCGTAACGTTCAGCATTAAGGATCAGGGCAATGAACGTTTCGTCCATTGTCAATACAATATGACTGGGTTATATACTTGGTGCCTTTCAGAAAGGTACAGTACCACTCTAAATTCGACATCGGATCCACGCAATCGCAAGTAGGCAAATACACAAACTCACTGCCTCCAGTACATGCAAAAGGCACGTCCTTAAATGACCTTAGCTGTTAATTGGACGCAAAATCCAATAAACCAAATTTTAGTGCAAACATTTTTATTTCATTTGTATTATCTGATTCAACAGATGTAATACCATTTAGATTACTCGATATTGATTCTTATAAATGGAATCTCGTCAGACAGAGTCCGGTGTTGTCAGCATTCCCTTGATGCACCACATTACTACTGTTATCAACTGATCAATCTGTTTCAAACCTTCTCTATTGCTTAACATCACACTGCAATGTATTTTAAATCAATAAGATTGTTTTAAATAATTAAACTCAATACAAAAGATATGTTGGTATGTTTCCTATCTAAAATTATCCCCCACAGACAAAACAAAACACAAAAACTAAAAGTAATCGATTTCGAACGGTAAACTGTGGATGTCAATAAACGTGGGGTATTGTCACTTTACTGGTGTAACCCACTATTGATGCCATAGACTAAACACTAATCAAACTCTATCTACGTTATGTTGTAGCCCGGACTAAAAGCCGACGCGATATTATTTACCTTGCAAGGTGAGAACACATGTACATCGCAACTCATTCAGCTGCTACGGACTCGGCCAGAAGACTGCTGACGACATGTCAACTTTTAAATTATCACACGTATGTATTTTTTGTTTGTTCCTGCTTTCAAACCCATATTTTGAAACTGGTTTTTGTTGCATTTTATTCTGGTATATTTTTTATTTTATTTTACTCCAGCGAACGATATACATTTTTTATCATTTTAACCGAATGCAAACATGCCCTAAGACTTGTAAGTGTATGAGATTCAATAGTTTACTATACTTGAACAATTCCAACGTTAAATATCTGATATAAATGATACAATATCAATGAAAAACCTTCGTTGAGGAAAATATGTGGTCATATATGGAACTGAAAAAGTGATGTTGACATCGACATATGTGGTTATATGTATATGAACATGAGAAAGTGATATTGACCAAATCAAAATCGAGGTTAATATATTTTTTTGCAGGTCTATATGACAACATTTTCACCGAAAAAATCTTTTATATTTGATGCTAAATTATGTTTAGATAATTAGAAATAAGATGCAACGTATGTAAATTGTCAGGAGCAAAATACTGCGTTTGGTAGAAAGAATTGTGACGTTACAAATGAATGACGTCATAAAGTTAATATTATCTAACTGTTTCTAGAAATAGTAAGACCGAGTCAATATCACAAATCACCGACCTCCACTTGGTTATGATCCTCCAAACGAGGATGTAGGGGCGCTCATTCGAGCGCCATCTAATAAAAATCAGAAACGAATGAATCTACATATTATATATATTTATATTGTGTTTGAACATGTTTCTAAGTCGAGACTAAATGTTTCCCCGTTGAATATATTAAACCTTTGGCAGAATATTTTAGTTACCGAATTCGTTTGAGTAATGGTATTCCGGACCACTATAAATATATATGGTTATCAATCTGAAACCTCGTGTATAAAACACATTTTTTCCCAAATGTATGTTTCATATTAAATTCATTTTACCCATCAAATCCATTTTCATTTGATCTTAGCTGTTGCGGGGATATCATATACCAAACAAAAGTAAACATACAAACAAACAACCAAACGGACCTCCAATCACATGGTTTGGTCAAAATATTAACTTAGTATTTTTTCTTCTTAAATCTTCAGGTTTTTCCGCTGCTTATCCCGTTCTGGTATTTCCAAAATGGTAAGTGCCAAACATGCGATTGTTTTCAATGTATAGCAACAACAGACTTCCATGGCTTCCAACCCACTTTTCTTGAATTACTTCGTTAACAGCAAGAAATAACGCTATTTTATTTTTATTTTATTTTACAACCATTTCATATACGAGAAAATGAAGTTATGACAATTTTGCAATTTGTATGGGTACACAATCTAAGATAACACTATTCTGAAAGAGTCATTTAAGAGTTTGAGCTTATTCTCATGCTTTATTTAAACGGGTACCTATAAACAATCTTTTCACTCTGAGAAAGTGTTTTCTTATCCATAAGTTTTCAAACGATGAGTCTCTATGAGCAACACACATTTATTTATTTATTCGCGTCAGATCTCAACCAGAAAGACACAACCTTTTAAAACAAATCAGTGTGTATCCTAACTGTGTTTTACATTTCTTTGAAACCTGTTTCAAATTTTGAAAAGTTGTTTGGCATTAAGTGGGTCTGAATACGAAAACTTTGTCTCATTTTTCTTCTTACATTTTTATTTTGATGCAATGTATAAAAACAGTAACATAGAAATACCTTACACTGCATGTAGTATCAAATCCAAAAGAAAAAACTAGAGAAAGCTTTTGAACAACAATTTGATCATGTTTTTAGCGACAGTGTGAGGGTGAAAATAGAACACTCAATGCTTTAAGCTCATTATAAAGTAAACAATATTAAAAATAATGGAAGACAATAGATATACATATTTAAACTTTCACGACATGAAAGTCCTATACATGTTACAGCTTATTTGATTTCGCAGCTCAATGCCGTGGTGTGTTGAAACACATGGTAAGGGACTTCCTTCTCAAATACCTTTATAATACTATGGTCAACCGATCGATACGACATTGTGTGAACATTTTATAAACAATAGTTGAAACAACGCTTATGTTTGGTAGTTTTTTATACGTGTTTAAATAGAGTCATTGATTATCGCGCTGCACGCCTTGTTTTAACTATTCCTAAAAATCACGTTCGACGATTTAAAAACTCATATAAAAGCTAAAACATGGCCTACATATCAAGTTGAAAGTCCATTGCAACGTCTGAAATATATTATTAAATATATTTTTTGTACCCGCGCTTTTAACTTGTTTTCATTAAATAAATTGTTGAACGTCTTGATTTTTTATTTGTTGGATAATGTTGCCATTCAGATATGTGATTTCAGAACAATAATGGTGTTGATTTAACAGGTTTGGTTGTAAACAGTCCGGACATTTGTATGATTATTTTCTTTACTGTAATGAACATTCCTTTTTGATCTTGTGTTCTGTTCGCTATATCATATACATTGCCTGATTGTTGGGAAACACGAGATTTATCATGCCTCACGAGGGCAAAAGAGGGAAATATGACCGGAAGAACTAAAGTGCGTTAGGCCCACACGGTGTTTCCTTATCCCGTCATGTGATCAGTATTACCCAATTAGACACGCAGTAATATACATGAAATATAAGCTTCCATAGCATTTTTTGCGGGATGTATGAGAGGATAACTAACACGAAAATAGAATTAACAACGTGATATTGGAAATTATGAAATTAAGATCAATAAACATACAGACAATATAACACTAATAAAATATCTTTCTATGGCACAAACAATGTATTAACCAATACAAGAACTTGAAAACAAGAAAATCATTTTTTGAAAAAGGACGTCGGAGAGGAATTATCTGTAAGTAATATCAAACAGTCTTGATTCTCTATTTATAAAGTCCTGGTGTAGGCTAATGCCTATATATATATACTCATACTGTATCTGAATGGGCGAAGATTGAGGTATAAACATATGAATTTCCATGGGGTTAAAATTCACCGTGATCATGCCATCTTTTAGGGGGCATGTTAAGCCTTAACCTTGAATTCTCGGACTTTTAAATTATCGTAGATTTGTTTTGGCTTGATATAGTTTAATGTCCTAGTAACTGCTAAGGTCATTGAAGGACGTTCCTCGATGCGTGCAACGTATATGTGTATGCATTCTTGAGGTCATGTATCTTGGTGTAATTGCCTCCTGGCGATGGCGCGGATCTGATGCCGACTTTGTGGTGCTATCTCACTAAAATATCATATCAAAAGCACCAAGCAAGCTATTACGCCCGGTCACATTATACTGACAATGTTTTCATTACCCTAAGTTCTAAACGTTTAGCTACAATGATAGACTGGTGATGTATTGGCATACCATGCAAATTGATGTAATGTTATTAGTGTTAATGTAATGTTTTTTCTTTTGATATTTAACAAGAAATATATAATTTACGTAAATTTCGGGTCGTATTTCAGGTTATAATATATAGGGCATATAGTAAAACTACATGGAAAAGTACCTATGTATGACTCATCTGTGCTTTCTAGCTGGATCTTCCATAATCGGCTGCCCTGAAGTCACACCGTCTGCAATTTCATATTTGGATAACGGTGTCACGTGGTGTTATTGGTTAAAACCCTCAACCCAGGACTCCGTCTACCAGCAGCTCATGTGTGCTACAAATGGCGGTACACTGGCAAATATACCATCTGCATCTCACGAGGCGGCTGTGACAACAGCGTTAGGCTCTACATGGAGGTAAGTTTAGATGACCCCTTTTAAAATACTTTCTGGGATGTAGCTACATTATGTATAGGAGCTCATCAACCGAGGTGGTAGAAAAAGGTCACGCTGCCATGTGACCTGCACAAAATTTCCTATAAAGAAAAGAAATCTAAAGCTGCTCCAGAAATGGATTGAAATGATACTGTCACCCTCCGGTGTACGAACTTTGCCATATCATCGTGTTTGTTCTCTGCATTTTGTAGCCGATCACGATGTTTTCGAATTGTTCCCTGGGAACAATCGTAATAAACTCTTTGTCAAACGCAGTACAGCTTTAATTAAAAAGTGTGAGAAAGACCACCATTTTGAACAAAACATGCCTAGATGTTTGTCACATAGCGATGAAAATCCCGTGACACAATTTTTCAAAAGTCCAAATCATGACACTAATTACTTATTTATAAATTGTAATCTTCGAAAAATCAAAGTTATTTCCCATTTGATAAAAAAGACATACAGCCTGCATTACCTGCTGTATTCAGACCTTAATAAACAATTATTACTTTTCATTCTGACTATAAAGGACTTAGGTAAAGGGTACCACTGCATCAGTCACAATCGCGATTTTAAGAGTTTCACTTAGACCTTTGTACTATGGAGCCCCTAAACTGACATGCTACACATTTATTTTATTTCGTTTTATCGAAATATTATTTCGTTATAACGTTATAACGAAATAATAATTCGAAAAAACCCAGTACAAGAATAATTCGTTATAACAAAATAATACTTCGTTTTATAGAAATAACAAAATATTCATTAAAAAAAAACGAAATACTATTTCGAAAAAACGAAATAAAAGTTCGTTATAACGAAATAATATTTCGATAAAACATAATTATATTTCGACAAAACGAAAAAAGAATTCGTTATAACGAAATATTATTTCGAAAAAATCGAAAATGAATAAGTGTGTAGCATGTCAGTTTAGGGGCTAAGTATTATACTTTTGTATTCTCACCTGTACATAGGCAAGTGAAGCAACTAAAAGGATTTTGTTCTGACTTCAAATTATGTGTTTTTCATTTTTCATAATGTTCAATATTTTGTCATTGGCTTACCGTCCGGTAAATTGGTCACTCATTTCAACGTTGAACACTGATAACTAATTGATGACAACATTGACATGTATGCTTTGTAATGCAAATGTCATTAATATTATTGGAATCTTAACGGTCCTTCAACACCGAAGAGGTCATTAGGGCCAATAAAAGTAGATAAAACATTTTAAAGGAAAAACATCAAACAAACGGAAAGATAAAAGACAAATCCGAAAAATTACAGTGGCTATGGTTAGTTATATCTTTTTGAACAGACCAACACATTTAAGGTAGGTTAGAATTGTTGAGATATAAACTGTTTCGGAGAGCTTTGAGATTTGTTAAAATAATATAAAAAAGTTGGCTAAAGGTCAATGAAATCGAATCACAAGTATTTTACTGTAAATAAATCGGTCCTTACTTTTTTTCCGTTTGTTTGTTTGGGTTTTTTTGTGTATTTTTTTTAACATTCATAATTCATCCAACAACAATTCTCTAAACTATATTGTATCTTGAATTTTATGGAACACCTCTTTTAAGAAAACACTTTTTTAAAATAATATTTTTTATATTGGTAATAGAAGTTACTTTTCGGTACCCTTGACCTTGAGAATCTAGGGTTTAATTGGGCAGCACAAAAATGTAAGTACAGTTGCACCTGTTTATAAAATAAGAAAACATAACTATTATCGTACTTACTACTAAATCACCCTTTCTCGACTTGTAGTGCCACAACTGATGTTTATATTGGTGTAAGGGACGTGACCAATACCGGTAACTTCCAGACGTGGGCTGGGGACACTCTCACGTATACCAACTGGGGGAGTTCCGAACCACAATCTTTCCAGTTCTGTGTCTACATGGACCGAACAACTCACTTGTGGCACACCACGCACTGTAACGTCCATATCCTTGCTTTATGTTACTGTGTTATAGGTAAGAACTCAAGCAATTGTTTAATATTACATGGAACAACAATTAGCTTCGATATTTAGATAAAAGATTGTTAAAGGAAAGTTCTTATATAGACAGCTGATAATCATGAACTTAGCTACAGTACCTGAAAAGTGGTTGGTATATGGCCCCAGTCCCAGTAAAATTATAGCGAAAACGAAATTAAGGGGAGGTTACTGTATGAAAAGCCATTGTCTCCTGTCCTTTGCATGCAGTGGGACACTGGTCCTTAAATTGAAGCCATTACAAAAGTATTTGATAGTATATAATGTTTTATTACGCTGGCTGAATTAGGTCGGAAAATGATATTCGATATGATGTTTTTTCTTCTTACCAAACCCAAACAGAAACGGCTTAAGATTTAGTGTTACCTGTCAGGCCGATTAAGAAAGCGTAATATGTCCAGCTGAAATGGAAGTCGTTTTCCTGCCATTTACCTTTCAGGTGGTTTATATAACAAACATTCATATCAGCCAAACAAAGACAGTTGGTACTTACTGTCAAAGGCGTCATACCTTACATGGTCTATTTATCTTTAAAAGGCAACAAATCGTATCGCATGACTACCGTTTGCACGTGCAAATAAAAAAGCAGAATACAAATATTAGATTGTCTTTGTCACGCCATTATTAATTAGTCAAAGAAACCAAAAAAGCTGATCAATTACGTTATACATTAAAATTAAAACTATTGTTTCAGATTCGAATGACCCGTACACTTGTTCCGGAAATGTTGTGACTGGCACTGGTGGAGTTACTAGTAGTGTCACGACAGTTTCTAGCAATACAGCAACTGATCAGACAACGTCTAGTAATGTTTGTTATCCCTCGATTCTCACGAGTTGTCTTTCTTGCTGTTATGCCCAAGCGACACCGACAACAAGCTCACTTGGAAAATCGTTTACTGATATAGTAGCTGATTTAAAAATCGATACCAAACAGACAAATAGGTATCAGCGGAAGTTACAGAGTGTCGCGGATTATCGCCCTTTGTCCGTTGGCATAGGAACTATAGCTATTCTTGTTCTTATAACTGTCGTCGCTGTCATCGTTACCTGCGATATCCCAGTCCTTGGTGCCCAATTCAACTTGATCCAAAGATCGATGCGCCGCCTATTTTGTCGATCACCTAAATCACGTGTGAGACGACGTTCAAATCGGGTTCATTCGGATCCTTGTGATCAAACAGTCGCTTCGCAACCTACTACGTCGACGACCAAGATCACAAGTGATACCGCATCCAAGTAATAAACGCAGATCCCTTTGATCAGACGATCATTGCGCCACCTACTGCATTGAAGTCCTAGATCACGTGTGACATTCAACTAGCATACACGCGGGTCCTATTGGTCAACTGATTGCTGCGTCGACAACCTTGAATACGTGAAATGCGACAACATAAAAGTAATTTAAAAGCGGATCCCTTTGATCATCAGAACGATGTGTCACCCACTGCATCGTCGACCTAGGTCACGTGTGAGGCGACATGGTAACATGTATACCAATGGAACATAGGGTTTTGTACCGATTCCGTACTCCCAACAACTCCTTCAAACATAAGGTGCTGGAATGTGAGGACTATATTCGAACTTCGCGTTTTGAGGGGAGATCTGAATGTCAAAGTGGGATGAAAAGGAACACGGAGCAAACCAATGGAAAGTAACTAACACCAAAAGCTAGTTGCTGAGCTGATTTAATTAGGCCCTACATGTTATTAACATAAGACAAAATATCTGTGATATCATGATTTCTGGCAGTTCTATGTATATTTACAACAAATTGTTTGTTTTTAAGTCGCCATATGCATTGATTTTTCACTGTAGAAATCGATACGCGACCCGCACGTGTCATTGGCTCGTACAGCTAGATACAAATAGAGTATACTTGATATTTTCCATTTTCTATATTTGCTACAAATGATGGAATATTTGTTTAAAAGATAAGTAAACAAATCTGTGTTTGGTTCTATTTTACACAAAGTGGTTAAAGACACGTGTCTATGGTTGGGTAGTAAAANTATATATATATAATAAAGGGAAAGTAACAAAGTAATCGAATTCGAACGAAATAACCTATGATCAGACTTATTGTTATCATGAAATCCATAATTCCTGTTTGACAAATGTTTAATTTTGATTTGAAAGAATCTACATGTAAGGGTAATTGCTTGGTTGAAATCAATAAGCGTTATTTAATTTCTACAAGATATATTCAGTTTTGACATTCATCATGAGCGCTATATTAATATAATCCTGTCGAAATATTATCAATTATGGACTTTTGTTGAGATGAATATGTAGTCATATGAACCTGCGAAACTAATATTGACCGAGACTTGGCTCTATCAATATCACTCTCTCCGGTCCATCAAAGGCAATATGCACCACAATAAAAATTCTTTAACTGTTATCTTAGATGCTAAATAACGTTTAAATCATTAAACAAGATTGAAAGTATAAACAGTTTACGGAGGAAAGACTGCATTTGGTAGAGGAGATGGTGACGTTGCGATTTAAATGATGTCATAAAGTGTATATTAACCTGATGTTTCTTAAAATAGTAACACAAATCATCAACCTCAGCATGATTATGATCTAACCAATGAGGATGTGGGGAAATGTGTATCATCTAACATATACTTTTATTGATTCATTAAATCTTTATTTATAATGATTACTTATGTTCCTTTACTTATACCCTTAATCGAAAACGACATACAACTTACACATTTTTCTCATATTTTTGTGAACAGGAAAGGTCATTTGTGCCATAATTTTAGGTATCGTTGCCTAGTCATATATATGTACATCAAAATAACGGTATTTTGAATATAAAAAGTCGATTACAAGAAGGAGTTTACGGCTTTATTTAGACAACAAAGCGTCAGCGGCAGAGATGGCAGTACATCAGACAGTAGAACAATGGAAAACACCAATATGCTGGTCCGGGGGGAAATGTTGTTTGAAAGCGTTCTTATCGACGTTAAGTAAATGTAGAATTCACTGATGCTTCAAGGAATGAACAGGTCGAAATTTAAGGGGAAAATCTATCTATCACCATACCATGTATTTGTAACATGAAATATTGAGTTAACGACAAGAAAGAGAGAAAACACATAATGTATCGACTTTGTTAAGAATTCACTTTGAAACAGTAAACGAATAACGGAAAAAAATAAATGTTACAGTTTCAGAGTTTTTTGTTTGTTTGTTTGTGTTTAACGGCCCATCGAAAACTGTGGTCATTTTTAAAACAAGCATGCGAGTAGCGTGAGCACCAAGGGATTAAAATGAATATTTTTGTTCAAGCATTCGCATGGTATGTGTAAATAAAAAATGTGAAAGGGTTTAAAAGTTAAAGAGATAATAAATAGATTATATGGAATATGCGATTATGGATAACGTCAAAGAGGGTAAGGTGGGTCAAAAGACATCATAGTCGATATAATATACCGATGTCTTTCAACTAGTTACAGTTTAAGAAGCTTTATACAAAACAACGAAGACAGAAAAGTACAGTAGAAATGCTGTAGACATGCTGCATTTGATGCTGCATCAGATGTTGAGGTATAATACCTTAGATGCATCAATGGTCCAAGTTTGGTTGGTCTAGCACTTATAGTTTCCGAGAAACTAACTTAAACGCAACAACTTAATGTTTGATGGAAATGCTGGAAAAGTCAAATTCAACCAAAACCTTAATGTTGACGTCGCCGGAAAAAACCCCACCTTAGTCTCGCTGCCGCTTCGTCGTCGTGGCGAGACAAAAACGTTGTAAATGTAACGAGATATTGTGCCACCAGATCTAGGATTTAGGCAATAAAAACACATCAAATAAAAAACATATTTAATAGCTCAACTCGAACCGAATAATAATAAATGTAACATCAAAATATGTACTGTGTAACATGACACAAGAATGATGAGTAACGAGAGCAGTCAACTTATCAACTTTGAACGTTTGATGTTTGAAACCGTTCTTATTAATGTCAAATAAATGTAGAATTCGCTGATGCTTCAAGGAAAGAATAGGTCGAGATTTAAGGGGGACATCTTGCTATCACCATGTATTTGTAACATGGAACATTGAGTTTGCAACAAGAGAGAGAGAGAGGCAACAGTATTTTTGTAACATTTATAAGTAGCTAAAAACTATTTGACAATTTGCTCAGCAAACTTTGTGAAAACTTGCGAAACCATATGATCCCCAAAACGGTATCTGAATTAACCAGCATGATTTAGGACGGCATTGCTTGACGGAATACCAGCAGAATGATTCAAGGCTTCGGTTTTTCTTTTGGAAACGATCATTTCCTTTATGTTAAGAGTTAAATGCAAATAACAAAATCACATTATGTATCTACTGTATTACAAAGAATTCACTTTGAAACAGTAAACGGATTACAGAAAGAGAAAAAATAGGAGGAATATTAACGTTTTCGGAGTTTTTTGTTTTTGTTTGTGTTTAACGGCCCAACGACAACTGTGGTCATTTAGGGCCATGGTGGTTTATTGTTTTAAACAAACATGTGAGTATCGTGAAGAAAATCAGATAAAAACGAATATTTTAAAAAGCATTCGCATGGAATGCGTAAATAATTGAAATATGAAAGGGGTTAAAATAATTAAAGTTAAAGTTATAATGATTTGATTATATGGCATATGCGATATATAGAGAATGTCAAAGAGGGTAAGGTGGGTTTAAACACATCAGAGGCGATATTCTACGCCTTATACAAAACAACAAAGACAGAATAGTACAGTGAAAATGATGTTTAGCTTCTCTTAATTGTTTCACGATATCAACACAATTACAGCAATTTTGTGTTTTTACGGACTACTCTGTATATGACTGATAATTGATATCTGCTAAAATGAAACTACTGTTAGTGCGTCAAAACATGGGCCTGTAGGTATTTGCAGAATGTTAGTTATATGTCCAAGGCTGTAATTGGCAGGGAGGTCGGCAGGCAAAGACAGCCTTGTCTGCATGGTCACATGATACAGGAATTTATCTATTACTTGCAGGTAATGAAATTTCTAAATGTTGTTAAAATATTAGTGTCATCTGTCCGTCAGGGTCAATGTTGTTAATGAGGGGGAGCCCGATTAAAACAACTTCGAATTTACATAATCACTAGGTACAGTAAAAATATTGATTACTTCTGTTTAAATTTTCTGAATTTATTGGCTAGATAAAGAGGAAGGTTACAATTTAAGACGCCCAGAAAAAAAAGCCATTCGGATTGATACATGTGTGTCTCGCCTGTGCCCCGCTTTAACCATCAATAAACCTATCAGTGAAATAAATTCAATGTATTCATGCAGCATTTGATGTACGGGTTGAGATATACTACCTAAGATGCATCTATGGTCTATGTTTGGTTGGTGTAGCACTTATAGTTTCAGAGAAACTAACTTAAACGCAAAACCCTAATGTTGATGGAGATGCGGACAAAGTCAATGGACCATGAAAGGTACACCGCATCCAGCATTTGATGCATGGGTTAAGATATACTACCCAAGATGCATAAATGGTCCAAACTTGATTGGTGAAGCACTTATACATTCAATGAAACTAACTTAAACGCAACAACTTTATGTTGACGTCGTCGCCGGAAAATCCCCACCATAGCCTCGCTGCCGCTACTTCGTCGCGGCGAGACAAAAATGTTGTTAATGTAACGAGATATTGTGCCACCAGATCTAGGATTGAGGCAATAATGTTGTAAATGTAACGAGATATTGTGCCACCAGATCTAGTATTGAGGCAATAATGTTGTAAATGTAACGAGATATTGTGCCACCAGATTTAGGATTGAGGCAATAACGTGTAAATGTACATTTGAGCCAAATATTTTTTTTTTTTTATTCAAATATCGTTTTGTTTATAATGTGATTATTTATCGCACAGTTTACTGTTAAGTTTTACTTAATGTTGTAGTTTTGTTAGCCTCTGTTTATTTAGAGTCCAGATGAAATATGGAGGAAAAAATGAATTGTTTTTATTTTATTTGTGGAATTGTATGTCGTTGTCTTTAAGATGATTGTTAGTTGTGAAAATTAATATTTGTATCTTTGCTGGGGTTTCACGTCATCGCAACAGCAAATGTGATATACGGACCGGTGCCTAGGGAGACACCATCAGAATGAAAATGTAGACAGAAAGATACCAGACGAAAACAAAGATATAAGGTGTTGTTATGGATGCATTAATTTTAATCTCATGTTGTTTAAATTAAGAATACAAACGGACATCTATAAATGTGTTATTAAAGACATAACAGTAACTCGTGCAGAATCGTTATCATGGAGATACTTTCTTTTTTTATTTCAATTATGTAGTATCACGTACAGTTTTATTGCACAATGTATATCAGAACTGATAGAAAAAATGTATTTTAGATAATTTACAAATTAATTAAAATATTTCATTTGCTATACATATTAGAATCATATTATTAGTTATCTTTGGGTTAGGCGAGGTCTACGGGTTCATAAACCCCGTCTGGTTGTTATAGACCCCGAGCCGAAGGCGGCGGTCTGTGAGCCCGTAGACTCCACCTAACCCAGAGATTACGAATTTGTCACCCTGACAATCTTTTATTACCTTTTTTCTGCAAACATTATAAGACACTTTGTGAGTTTGAGTTGTACTTGACTGCTACCAAATAGCCCCTACCGGATACCGTTTCGGCAATATTTCGAACAAAACACGAGCATCTTTGTAGAAAGCACCATAGCCGCCCCTTCATTTTCTGTCGTTTTAGATTGCTTGTAGGCTATTTCATCCGGTGAATGATTGGCAAACTGTCATCTCCCCTGGCACGTGCTTTTAGAAATATAGACCCCGGCAAGATATCCAATCAGAAAGAGTGTTACAAATTAGAAGGGTGAAAATGTTTTATGTCTCCATTCATGAATTTTAAACGAGAAAATCAGAAATATGTTATACAAAAGAGCAAATTTCTTTGCGAAAATGTGT